TATAATAGCTGTGGTGTTTCTTGGACACCCTTTACCAATTTGAGGAAGTTCTCTTCTATTCCTATTTTGTTGAGTGTTTTTATCATGAAAGGGTGTTGGGTTTTGTCAAATGCCTTTTCTTTTTTTTTGCATCTATTGAGATGTCTTTAATCTCTTTTAATCTGGAATTGTTCCTTAGCTTTTCTTTGTCTCTCATGACACTTGACATTCTTGGCTAGTCCAGGCCACTATTCGGTGCTCCCTCATGGGGAGCTTCAGGTTCTGGACTTTTGACAGGAGTATTGTGGAAGTGAAGCTGTGTCCTTCTTAGTGCATCTTGTCAGGAGACGTATGATGGTATTTTTCCCATCACTGGCAGTAATACCTTTGGCCCTAGTTAAGGTAGTGCCTGCCAGATTTATTCATCAGAAAGTTACTATTTTTCACTTTTGTAGTTAATATGTTCGTAAGTAATTTGTGCGGTGCTCCTTTAAGACTGAATATTCTGTTTCTCAGCAAACTTTTACCCACAACTTTAACCCCACTGATGACTAAGTTGTTTCTATGATGGTTGCTAAATGGTGATTTTCTAACCCTTCTCACTTCCTTTTTCTTTTACTAGTTAATGGACATGTTAGTTTTGAAGTCACTTGTTAGATATCCAAGAGGAGATGGTGGTGAGTGGAAAATGTGGACTATAAGGAAGGATACAGGTTATAGATTTAGATGCAGGAGTTATCAGTCTACAGAAGTTAAAAGCCATTGGTCACTGAGGGTCCCCAGGGGCCCGGATCCCCTTGGTTACAGGCCTTCCCCAGGGTTGGGCTCTATGGACATGTTTTGGAGACAAACCTCGGTGTTGGCTGGGTCACCAGGGTGCTATGGCTCCATGGATGCTGGGACTGCGGGCCCTGTTTCATGGGAAGCTGGGTTCTGTGGGAGGAAATGCCCTTGTTCTATTTTTTAAATTACAGTATCATTGATATACAATCTTATGATGTTTTCACATACACGACACAGTGGGTCAGCGCTCACCCATACTGTCAAGCCCTCACCCTATCCATTGCGGTCACTGTCTATCAACATAGTAAGATGTTACAGTCATTAATTGTGTTCTCCGTGCTGTACTACCATCCCTGTGACCTACCTATATTGTGATTGGGAATTATGGTGCCACTTAATCCCCTTCTCCCTCTCCACCTACCCATCCCTCCCTCTTTGGTAACCACTTGTCCCTTCTCTGTGTTTATGAGTCTACTGCTTTTTTTTGTTCTTTCTGTTTTGCTTTGTTTTTATACTCCACAAATGAGTGAAATCATATGGTATTTGTCCTTCTCCGCCTGGCTTATTTCACTGAGGATAATACCCTCTAGATCCATCCATGTTGTTGCAAATGGCAGAATTTCTTTTCTTTTTATGGCTGAATAATATTCCATTGTGTATATGTACCACATCTTCTTTATCCATTCATCTATGATGGACATTTAGGTTACTTCCATATCTTGGCTATTGTAAATAGTCCTGCAATAAACACAGGAGTGTATATGTCTTTCGAATCAAGGAATCTTGTTTTCTTTGGGTAAATTCCTAGGAATGGAATTCCTGGATCAAATGGCATTTCTATTTTTAGTTTTTTGAGGAACCTCCATATTGCTTTCCACAGTGGTTGAGCTAATTTACATTCCCACCAGCAGTGTAGGAGGGTTCCCCTTTTTCCACATCCTTGTGAGCATTTGTTGTTCCTTGTCTTTTGGATTTTGGCCATCCTAACGGGTGTGAGGTGGTATCTCACTGTGGTTTTAATTTACATTTCCCTAATGGTAAGTGATGTGGACCCTTGTTCCATGTAAAGTTGGTGAAGGCCTTTACTACTTAACCTGGCGTTCAGGTTCTGTCCAGCACCATCTGCTCCAGGACTAGCCACGGTCTCACATTTCTGCCTCTGCTTGCTGTGCCCTTCACTACTACAGTTTGGAGAACTCCTGTTTGCTCAAATATTGCCTTCACTGTGAAGTCCCACACCTCCTTCCTCAAACAAGGTCATCCATTTAGAAGATAATTCTTGAGGCTGTCCTCTGTGCTAGGCCCTGAGACTGGTGGAGACATATCCACAGTCACACAGATGCAAGTATCATCATACCAGTGACAGCAACAAGCGAAGGGACTCTCGTGCTCCAAGTGCAGAGCAGGGGCCCTTGCACCCGCCCGGCCCGGCCAGGGTGCTTCCGGAGGGCTTCCCCTGAGACCTGAGGGCAGGGCAGATGGTTACTGCATTGGTGGGGGAGACATGGCCTCCCTGTGCGAGGTCTGCGGTGGGGATGGAGGGCAGAGAGCCAGGGATGGGCTCCCGGGGGAGGCACAGCTAGGAAGGGGGGGCAGCGGCCTCCAGGGCCAAGGTGAAGAGGCTGGATATTCTCCTGCTGGCACTGGGCAGGCTGTGAAGGGCTCTGAGCAGATGGTAACTTTTGGAGGGAGCAGAGGGAAGACTTCTGGAGAGCTCCTCTGGATGCCATCAGGAGGGGGCAGGAGGGCTGGTGGGGACCACATTGATTTTTCAGATAAGCCAGATTCAGATGGGCAGGAGACACACCTTCACCTTAAATTTCCCTTATAAACCCCACTTCAGTGCTGGTCGTAGGAACTTCATCTCGGTTTGTCGGGGGTCCCTAGGGCACTTACCCATGCTGGCATCCACATGGTCTCTGGCTCACAGTGGCCATGGCTTTGTCCTGCTGTCTTGGCCATAGGATCAGTGCTGCGCCTGGCCGTGGCCAAGCCTTCTCGCTCTTTGCTCTCAGGCTGCGGGGTGGAGTGGAGACCCCACAAGGCTTGGGGAGCACAGGGTCTAGGCGGGGATCCTGGGCCCTGGGCTGCAGTCCTGTGGGTGGTTCTCAGGGCCCCAGCAATGGCGCAGTTCCTCCCTCTGCCTCTTCCCCAGCACCCTACAGCCTTCGGGAGGGCGCTTCCCGTCTCTGCTGGCCCTGGTCCTTTCCCTTCCCTCAAAGGCCAGGCTTTGGAAATGCAGAAGCCGAGGATTCATTCCCAGCTTTTCTGGAAAGCTGTTGTCAGCCTTTTCCTGAAATGACAAATGCCTCCTTGCTCGAGTACAGGAGATGGGACATCATTTAAGTCATATCCTTATCCAAACTGTTCAAGCTAAATTTAGTCATGAAACAACATAAATGCAGATTATGCAACATTCTACAAGATGCTCGAACACTTGAAGAATGTTAGCATCGTGAAAAAAAAAGTGAGGAAATTTTGGTTCACCAAGACTAGAGAGACATGGTAACTGAAAGCAGTGACTGATTCTTCATGGGATCTGTGGTGGATACAAAGGAGAAGTCAGAGGGTGTCAGCAGGGCATTTGGAGTGTGGCTGTGCTTTAGTCAGTATTAATGTCTGGGCACCGAGTGTCGTTCTGGTAAGGCACATAATCGAGGGCCACTCATTTGATAAGGGGAATAATTGTGGTCATTCAGGAATGTCTTTATTCTTAGGAGTTGCAGGGTATATTTGGGGGTGAAGTGTGTATGCAAGTTACTATCAAATGGCTGCGGAGGGAAAATGTCTGTGTATGTACCTGTAAGGGATAATGCGAATGGGCATAATGTTGATAATTGGTGACTCTGGGTAAAGGACATGGTGTTCATTATACTGTCCTTATAACTTAAGGGTCGAGGAGGGGGTCCCTCCACTGCTGCACCAGTCAGCCTGGGAGTGGGGGCTTGGGTTTGGCACATCAAACGCTGCCCTGCCTGGCACCCTGATACAAGGAATCCCTAGGGCCCCGATCCAACCCTCAAGGCTCCTTCTGCTGCAGCAGAAACACTTGGGCTCCGAAGGATCAGGATTCACCCTGGTCTCCCAAGGCCTGTCTGGAGTGGAGCTGGACTGCCAGCTGGACAGTGGCCTCACGTGCAGCTGGCTGCCTCCTGCATTCCCCCACGCTGAGTGTCTGGCTCTGTGCCCAAGGCAGCCTGGAGCCTCCCCACTCACCCTTCAGGTCACCCCCAGCCAGGGTAGGGGTAGGTTCAAGAAGTTGCCAGCCGCAGGAGTTAATCAGAGCCAGCCATGGTCACTGGACACTCAGCCACCACTAACAGGACCCAGAGACAGTACACCAAACTGGGCACAGGGGGTCCGGCCCACAGGTTTGGGATGAGCTCATGAGGGGCCCCACTGGGGAAGAACGAAGTTCTGGGAAGGTGGTTCTGTGCCTCCCCTGCCCTGAGGGCACTGGAATGCAGGCTGGTCAGCAGAGGGAGACCAGCTGTCTGTAGCTGACCCAGAACTTACTGACACACGTCCTTACGCCTCCCCTACCCCCATTGCCCCGTTCCTTCTGCGTAGAATGTGCGGTCCTCAGGCTCTGCCCTGTCTGCACGCCACCACCTCCCCGCAAGGTGGTTCATACTGGCTATCCTTCTGGGCTTGACGAGATGCCTCCTGTCCAGACCAGTGGGTGGCGCTCTCATGGTTCCCACAGTCTCAAAGCATTGCATCTTTTCTACCACCTGTTGTAGACCTGCACTCATCGCTGACATGTTCACTGTCTGTCTCCCCACCAGAGCGTGAGCTCAGTCAGTGACCGCCAGGCACCGGGCCGGTAGAATAGGTCCTGAGGAGGTCTGTTCAGTGAATGCAACTTGCAGGGTGGAGGTACCGAGTACCCCATCCCAGGAGGTGTGCAAGGAGAGATGGAATCCGTGGAGGAAGTGTGAGTTGTCTCAGCAAGGGTAGCCCATCTTGGCTCCCATATAACAACTATTAAGCATTTATTTCTCAGAGGAAGCTGGTAAGGTAGAGGTTGCAGTCATTTTCCAGGTGAGGAACTGAGCTTATTTTTCTTGTCCAGGATCACCCAGCTCATACGGGTAGAGCTGGAATTAGTTTGCACTTAAATCAGCCTGTCTCCAAAGAGCTGTGTTTGGAAGGGGGTCTGGCTGAGTCTCCTGGGGCGTCCACCTCACCCACCGGATCCCAGCCAGGCCTGTCCCATTGCAATAACACCACGGACCCTGGGTACACATTACCTCATTTATTCTCACAACATGCCTGTGAGGTAGGGAGGGGCAGGGACTGTCCCCACTTTACAGAGGAGGAAGTTGAGGCACACAGAGGTCAAGTGACTTGCCCAAGGTCACAGACGGCGGCCAAGCTGAAATGGGGCCCCAGAGCAGGCCCTCAGTTCCCCCAGGGCCCCTGCAGCAAGTGCCGGCCACGAGAATGTCTTTAGTGCCATTGTCTGTACACGGCACAGAGCAGCCCTCGTACACTGAGCTCGCTGCGGGCCGGGCCTCACACTCCCCCTGCCCTCCCCCCACCCTGCAGGCTCAGGCCATTGCAGCTTGGGGCTCATGACACCCTGGGAGTGGGGCTGTGGGGCAGGGGAGAGAGAAAGATGACTGGGGTAAAAAAATAGATGGGCCCACAGTGGAGGGCAGGTGGGAGACCAAATTATAAGGGCTGTTACACACAGGTATATATTTTTACACACACTTGTACACACACCTAGATATAGTACATGTAAAAATATATGCTATTCACACACCCGCCTCCTGCCAGGTGCCCCGAGAGCCAGCGGTGGCGCTGGTGGGCATGGGTGAGCAGAGGGGCATTTGTTAAATATACACTCTAAGGTCTATGTGCATATGTACACATACATACGGACAGCTGCCTGCCCCTTGGGTGCTGTACACAGGCTTGGCCAGGGACAGACAACCCCTTAAAAATGGGGTCCCACTCTTGAGTGCCCCCTGTAAGTCACTGTGAGCCGTAACTTTTTGCTGAAGGAAGAAGAGGCTGGAGAGAAGAAAAAGGCAGACATCTGGGGTGTGGTAACTGTGGCTTTTATCTTATTCCCCCACTCAAAGACTTAAACCCTCCTCCTCTCAGAGAGGCGAGGCCCCGTGCCCGGGGCTAGGGATGGCAGCAGGGCCTCGGTCTGCACACGTGTGAGAGGCTGTGTGTGAGCACTTGGGGGGGAGGGGATGAGTGTCCATCTTTCTGTCCTCTGGGCTCAAAGGGCTGAGACCAGAGAGCCCATAGCTAGGATGGTAGCCCCTGTATGAGTTCTGAAGAGGAAAGAGAAAAATGCAGGAATGAAAACTGCAAGGTCAGAGCCGGAGGCGCCTGGAAAAGGAAGGACATGGCAGGTGCCCAAGGCTGCCCTTGGACTGTCGTAGTCTTGTAAACAAGCTAGTTTAAGTTCTCATTAGACAGAACAAGTAAAAAGACTGCAGTCTCGAGGCTGGGCTGGGGAGGTTGCCGAAGAAGTCCATCTATCTAGTCCACCATGGCCAGCAAGAGGAAAACAAAGTTTTACAGTTTTATCTTTCTGTTGACTTTTTGAGTGAAGTCTTCAGAACCTAAAGCTGGGAGGGACCCAAAAAAGCCAAATTGTGAGCCCTTGTATGCATCAATTTGGAAGTTGGCTCAGGGTCTCTAGACATAATTAAAGGTTGAGAAAATTTTGTTCTATTCACATTTAGTTTTCTTTTTAATGATTTAAAATTGTTTGCATCCTGGTCTCAGAGCCGGGTCTGGGCCTCGGGGACATAAATCTCGATGCTGTCCGCGCTTTCTGTGGCTGAGTTCTGCCGCACAGAAGCTGCCCGCTTGGCCGCCAGGAGTCTCTTGCGGGCCTCCTGGCGCTGCTTGTCCCCAGCGTCAGAGGCCTTGTCACGGCTCACTGCCGGCTTGGATTTGGCTGGCTTCTTTGGGACTGGAGGTGGTGGTTTCTTCTCTTCCTTTAGTGAGACAGTGAGGAGGGAAGAAAAATAAAATAAAGGTGCCACCTTTTATGTGGGGCTACCACCCACTGTATGCTGGCAGCTGGAGTTTCCACTCCAGCCTCCCTGCATCAGGCACAAGCAACACACGTCTGGAATCAGAAAGCCACAAGAAGCGATGATAGTGGGCAGAGCACAAGGCATAAGAGCAGAAAGCAAGCTTGAGAATCCTAGAATGTTCTAGCAGCAAAGCACCTATTCCCACCCGTTTTGATCCACTGGGAGCCTGAAACTCAGGAACAAGCCTGAATCGATAGCCAGAGATGGGATTTAAATTCAGGGCCTCCAACTCCCAGGTCACATTTCTCATGCTATTCTAGGGGATCAGAATTCACAAGAGCCACAGTCCAGCACCAATAACCAGAAGGGTCATTGGGTGCCACTGTTTTACAGAAAGAAGCTTGGGCCTCAGGGAAGAGGCTGGCCCCAGAAGGACCATTTCTCTGCCTCCAAAGTCACAACAGCCATGTTAACACTAGTGTCTCCCTGGAGCCCCGTTTTCTGAACATGCAGGACAGGATGGCATGCTTCAGGGGGGCAGTCTTAACTACACAGAGAGAGCGGCATGCTGGACAAGTGCCGAGCGTGGACCCCGCGCGCTGATGGACGTGAGCCCCCAGCTCAAAGACGACACATGGAGAAGGAGCCAAGCAGCACTGACCGATGTGGGCAGCGTTACTGCCGACCAGGAATTTGTCCCTGGACTTCCCCTCCGCACTGCTCCATGCTCACCTTCCTCTTCTCGGGGGTTTCCACCAGCTGCCAGCTGTTGGCCTTGAGGTGGTAGAGTTCATCAAACTTCATGCTGATGTCCTCGATGGACAGCTGTAGCAGGTCCCAGAACCCTGCCAGGTCCTGGGCTGTTGGATGTGGGTTGGCATCAGGGTTCTGTGGGGCAGACGGGGATCAGTGGGCAAGTAAGGCAGAGGCTTCTCCTGTACCCCGCCTCAAGTATGGTCTCCTGGCTCTGTCAGCCTTAGTTAGGGCCTATTGAGGCCTACTTAGTCTTGCGCCCCTGTTCCCAGGGTAGGGTCAGTATCCGAGTGAATGAAGCCAGTTTACGGTTACCACCAGGTGGCTATGATTACAGAATCCATGTGGTTTCCCTCCCGTCATTCTGCTCTCTGACAACACAATCCTCATGACTACCCCGGCCAAGCCCTACAGGTCCTGGGGATGAAAATCCACACTGTTCTTCACCCAGAGGAATCTACCAACCCTGGCCAGTTGGAGAGAAAAGCTTCCACAGGAAAAGTGGCCCTCCTTACAGGTAAGGGTGAGGGAAAAGCACCAAGCCTAGTGGTGCTATTTCTTTAGCTCTTACCTTGACTGTCTTCTTAGACACAGAACGTTTTATATAAATAATCTGTGCTGATTTTTAACTTTCATGTGGCTGTTTTTACATAGGGTTTACTTTTCTATTTCAAAAGGTATTAGAGATCTAAAAGGCCCTTTGCTGATGCTAGGCACAGAGGAGGCCCCAGAAGCTTGGAGAGGCTGATCCAACTAGGGGACCAGCAGACAGCCAAAGGCTGGGGGCCCTGTTGTGGGGGAAGAGGAATCACACTTACCAAGTTTTGCTCACAGAGGCCCCGGAACTGCTGGAATTTCTGGGACATTAGTAGCTGGGCACTGCCCACAGCACTGAGGACTTTTCCTAAGACTGAGAAAGAGAAGGTGGGAAGAGACTAAGCAGAGGACAGGGTTTGCTGGGAGTGGGAGGTAGGATCAGGATCCCGGCTCTCATCCCCCTAATCCCACCATACGATACTAATCATTATTTGGTAATGGCAGTTGGTCTTCATTTTATTTATACATAAATCTGTGAAAAATGCAAACAAATACATCCCCATCCCCTAGTTCCTAAGGATATTTTTATGGCAATAAATTTGAAAACTGAGTTCAAATGGAAAAAATTTCCAGAAAACCATAAATTACTGTTTTAATAATCTTCCCCAAAAAAAGGAACCAGGCCTATGTAGTTTTACTGGTGAGGTGTTACAAAACCTTCAAGAACAGATAATCCTATGTATATTAAAACTGTTCCAGAGAGTAAGTACACATAGAAAATGACACATCTAATTTTAGGATCTTTGAGAACATTAAGGACATGCTGAGAATAGATTTCTTTCAATACAACATGAGTTAACCAAGAAATGTTTAGCCCAGGAATGCAAGGGTTGATCATTTAGTGTGACTTCCAGTTTTAGAATGGTTGCATAAAGACAATGCTACCTCGAAACCCCCTGTGAAATCACTGAAAAACAAAACAGAGTGAACAAGAAATCAAAATGCAGATTGTCTGAGACTCTGGAGTGCAGTGTTTAAGGAACACTGCCATGTACAGTGATGGCCACACAAGACCTCAGACAAAGGAGGCAGTTCTGAGTTCTCCAAAGTAGTACATCTTGAAGGGAGAAACCCTCAAATTTAAAAGGGGACTGTGGACTGCAGTAGGAGCTTTCCTGAATCTGGGGGACTTCGCATGGTAAGCAGCCCCTGCAGTGGCCTGGAGAGGTGAGGCTTCAGCATGTATACCTGCATCCCTCCCCATGCCAGCATGGACACAGTCCTGGCCCTTCTCCCACAATGATCTACTTATAAGAGTTCATCAAATAATTTTACCTCATTAAGAAAGTAGTAATTAAAAAGGAACCAACCCAGGAGGCAAACAGGTATTACAGGAACAGCAAATGGCAGACAAACATTGACCAGGAAGTTGTTGCTAGAGAATAGATGAAAAGTGTGACATTTAGCCACAAATACCTAAAACATAGTTCATAGAAGAAATGGATGTGTCCTGAAAAGAGAGGTAAGCTGATGAAAGGAGCTGAAACGTGAGCTCTGGCGCTACTACAACAGAAACAAGGGCCAAGCTGGAAGCAGCACAAAGAATAAATCCTGCTGAGAACCAGTGAAGGACAAGGAGAGCAGAAGAAAAATGCTCCTGGTGCTGCAAAACTCGTAAAGTGCTTGACTAGCAAACATCTTTTTTAAATGAATAGCCAATAAGCTTGTGGGAATAAAAGGAAAATGAAAATTCTTCCTTGAGAGTTCGTAACCATAAGGCTGTACTTGGGTGCCTTATTTTTAAAGAAATTATCAAAAAGAAAGCAACTGGGAGACATAGGAGAGAGAGGGACACTTAATACACATCTGTCAGAGTTCTCAAAAGAACAGAGAATGGAAGAAAATAAATATTCAAAGAGATCATGATTTAGAATTTTCCAGGAATGGCTTATGACACCAGTCTTCAGAGTCAGGAATGTCAAGCAAATCCACAGTAAAACCAAGGACACGGAGAAGCTCTTAAAAAGCAGCCAAAGGGAAAGGAAAGACAGTACTGCCAAAGCAATGAGTTAAACTGCAGGCTTCTCAGCTGCAACAATGAAGAAGAGTGAATTGAGTACTGAGCAAAGTATTAACTTAGAATTCTACACCCAGAGAAGCCATCATTCAAGAATGAGTGTGAATGGGGAAAGAACAGTTTCTTCAACAAATGGTGCTGAGAAAACTAGATATCCACTTGCAAAAGAATGAAGCTGGATGACCCTTACCTTCATTATACCATGTAAGATCATTCACTCACAACTGATCAAAGGCCTAAGCATAAGAGCTAAAGCTATAAAACTCTTAGATAAAAAACAGTATCAAGTCTTCATGACCTTAGATTTGGCAGTAGTTTCTTAAATAAGACACCAAAAGCACAGGCCACAAAAGGAAAAATAAAAAGATAAAGTTAACTTCATTAAAACTGAAATTTTTTTATGCAATAAAAAGATACAAAGAAGAAAATGTGAAGAAAATCCACAGAATGGAAAACTACTTGCAGATCACCTAATATCCAGACTGTATAAGGAACTACAACTCAATAAAAAGACAAATAATCCAGTTATAAAATAGGCAAGGACTTGAATAGACATTTCTCTAAAGATACGCAAGTGGTCAGTAAGCATGCTCAACATCATTAGTTATTAGGGAACTGCAAATCAAAACTACAAGATACTACTTTATCCCATTAGGGTGACTATTTTAAAAACAGAGTAGTAACAGTAAACAAGTGTTGGCAAAGATGTGGGGACTATATAATGATGCAGCCACTACAGAAAACAATCTGATAGTTCCTCGAGGAGTGAACACAGGATCTCCATGTTGCCCAGCAGCCCCACTCCCAGGCATATGCCCAGGAGAGCTGAGAACAGATACCTGTATGCTGATATTCATAACAGCATTTTTCACAGTAGTCAAAGTTGGAAACAACCCAACTGCCCATCAACAGACAAATAAACAAAATGTGGTATGGTATGAACACACATTGGAATATTACTTAGCCATAGAAAGCAATGAAATTCTGATATTATGCTACAACATGGATGAACTCTGAAAATATGCTAAGTAAAACAAGACATAAAAGGACAAATATTTAGACTAGGCAAATTCAAAGACAGTACATTAGAAATCACTAGGAGTTGGTAATAGTGGGAATAAGGAGCTACTGCTGAATACAGAATTTCTGTGGTGATCCTTGTACAATACTGTTAATGTAATTAACACTACAGAACTGTATACTTAAAAATGGTAAATATTGTTATATGTATTTTGCCACAAATAAAAAAAATTATTTAAAAAAATGTATAAGTCAATCCAAATATATTAGTAATTACAACCTTTACAAATGAACTTAATTTCCAATTAAAATAAATCAGTTTTCAGGCTGGATATAAAACTACATCCATTTATATAAGCCATTGACAAGGAACGCTTAAAACCTAAGAACACAATGATTTTAAATAAGAAAATAGAAAAAGGTAAAGCAGGTAAACACTGAAAAAGGAATTCTGGTATAGTTACACTAATATAAAATGGACTAAGCCAATAAAGTAGAAATAAAAAGGGTCACTAAATATTGAGAGAAGGTTCAATTCACCAGGAAAATTTAAATTATTAATTCATAGTCATCTAATAACATAATTTCAAGTATGAAAAGCAAAAACTGACAGACTATAAGGAGAAACAGACATATCTATCATCGGAGTGGAAAGCCTTGATGTAACTCCTCTGAGAAGCTAGCAGGTACTGCAGACCAAAAAAATTAAAGCCAGAGAATACTTGATCTAAAAGACATAATATATTCACTAAATGTATATCCACTATCCACTAACTGTAAAGTATACATTATTCTCATACATATATGGAACATTCACTAACACTGACCATATTCTCGGCCATGAATCATATATATCAACAATTTCAAAGAACTGAGCATTATACAGATTATGTTTTTTAACCATATTATAATTAGGTTAGAAGGCAATAATGAAAGCACAACTAATAAACCCTCGTATTTTAGAAACAAACAAAAACACATACTTCTAAATAACCCGCTAGTCAAAGAAATTACAGTGGAAGATGGACATATATCCTAACTTGTTAGATAGTACTTATAGGGGAAATTCATAGATTTCAAAATGTAATGTTTTAAAAAAGACAGGCAGGGAAACAAACAAGCTAAGTATCCAATTTAAGACGTTGGTGAAGGAACAATACAATTAACCCAAAGAGAGAGAAAATAAAACAACAAATAATAAAGGATTAATAGTTTAATAAACCCTGACAGACTGATCAAGATAAACAGGAGACAGGTACAAATTAAAAAAGAATAGGAATAGAAAAATGACTGTATGACACCACCAAAACAATGAAGTAAAGGTAATTTTGTTAAACAAAAGAGAATAGGAATAGAGGAAACATCCCAAATTTATCTTATGAGGCTAAATAACCTTGACACTAAAACAGGACAAGGATGAGAAAGGAAAATTGCCAGCCAAAGGCAAAGTATTAAATCAGATATTAATAAATATAGTCTATTGATGTACCAAAATGATAATATAAATCAGCTGGGTTTATTCTAATAACTTCTAATTCTGGCCATGGAAAGCCAGTTAGTATCAGACAAATTGAACTCTTCTACCAAGAACAAATGAAGATGAACAAATAGCAAAAATCAACAAAAAACATCTCTTTAAAGATTTTTTGGCATTAAAAAACTACCAAAGTAACCATAATTTGAGAGGTTAAGATCCCAGTGAGAAGGGAAACAACATTTAGGCAAGTCTGATACTCTATGCTGCTTATACACTAAGGCATCTCCCAGTTCATATGCAGCACAAGGCTGAGAGGCTAACACACCAAGCAGTGGTGGTGAAGAGGTTTAGAAGTTGAGCAGAGTTTGTGGCAGTTTCATGCAGATAGGGAAACCAAAATTGGAATTCAGAGCTACCAAGGCAGACAGGACTGGGAATCAAGGAAAGTGCATTAAGCTAAGCAATGTTTTCAGCAGTCTTAAGGTATGGGAGAGACAAAAAGTGGACCTCAGGGTCTGTCATGGAGAAGACACTTGGTAAAAAATACCACAGACTATCCCCTGAAGGGTGTATATACCAGGATAAGGGCAAACTAGAAATAGACTGTTGAAAAACCCAGCTCTGATTCATGTCAGTCCCATACTGGATTGAGTTGGTCTGGCCATACTCTAATTGCCTGCAAGAAGCAAAAGTAAATCTGTTCTTGAAAAGTAGAAAATTATCCTTAGCCTCAAGTTATCTCTGCAGTTTTCACATACAGTTTCTGGCATTGAATACAAACTACCAAGCATACCAGGAG